CTTATATACTATGTATTATTATAACATTTTCTTGAAAAAAATTTCCAAAGTCTAAGAAGTTTGGAAAGCACACTGGATAATGAAGAATGTCTGAACTATTTATTTAGAGTAATGAATTATCACAGAATACTTGAGACATGGCTGTATTTTGGGAATGGGTAGAAAGAGCAAGCCTGTAGGCAAATAAAGCAACTTTGAAGCTGCTGTAATCACTTGGTCAATGATGATAGAGAACAAGCCAGCGAGAGAGAATGGAGAACAGTACTAAAAACAGAACTTTCTCCCTAATATTACTCATATACTTTTGTTTGAGTTCCTGCAAACATTAGAGCCTGAGTCAAAAACTTGAGTTAGAATATTGGACAGAAATTATCGGCCAACCAACGATTTAAGTTTTCTCATGACTGAAAGATAAATGTATATATTAATCTTGGACTAGGTAACTAATTGGACTTGGATGATATAAAAGAGAATGAGGAGGCTCAGCTCATTGCAGAATTTTGGTTTGGCTAGCTTAGAATCAAAAGCCAGAGTGTTTTTTATCCCCAGGCCCATGTGACAGGACATGATTTCCTCCTTCCCTGAACAAACTGATCAAAGTGCATTACAGGTCATGCCTTAGACCCTCACCCCTCTATCCTTTCAAGCAGCATTGAGGACCTTGTTCAGCAATGGTGCTCTGAAGAAAATCTCTCATGGAGTAAAATTAATCTTCATTAATCAATTCATACATCATGCATCAATAAAATAACTTATTGCTAAACCTCCTTGAAAAAAAATAATGAATTAAAAATGACATGGTTCTAGCTTTAATAAATTCTTGGGACTTTCTAGTGTTTTTTTTTTTTTTTTTGGTACTGGGGATCAAACTTGGGACCTTGTGCTTGTGAGATAGGCACTGGACCCACTGAGCTAAATCCCCAGCCCAGTTCCTAGTCTTTTGATTATTTGAGATATCTTGATGTACTTTACTCATGGAAACACATTTTGATAAAATCAGTGAAAAACAAAACAATAAACATAAAAAATCTATTTTATAACATCAAACAGAATAATATTCAAAATTTCTAAAGGATACTCGGAAATTATTAGACGCGAAAGGAAGAAAAAGTAGAGTTCTCAAAATCTGAACCTCTACCAGATGTATATGGTGGCCATCAAAACTTTTGAAGATTAAAAATGAAATGTCAAAGAATTCCCCAGACTGTTTTTATATTTTTTTAAAGCTGTTCTCTGCCCCCAAATTCACCTTTATTCTCTTTTTAAAATAACATGCGCTTTGGGGGAAAATAAGTACTGAAGTATATGAAAGTACTTCTAAGTTATATGTGTTAAAAGTACTTTTAAACTATGTGTTAACAAAGAAGAACAAATATTCATGATTATAATAACAATTCTAACTTTTATCCATTGCCCACATCAGCACGGCCTGCCAACCAAGCATTTTTGGAACCCAGACTGTCTTTCTCTTGATTAGACTTGGGCCTTAAGGAACTTGGCTGTAGGGTTGCTGTTCGCCAGGAGAGTGCTGAAACTCTCAGGCTGTTCACACTCAGTGGAAGCTCTCCTACCTGACTTATTCCAAGCTCCTTCCCAACTAAGAAGAACCATGTCTAAAACCAATATAAAAGGTGGTAAAATCTTGTACAAATTATGTGAAAACCAACATGGTGTTGAGCATGCTCTTTCTCCATCACTCAAGAATCCTTGTTCTCTTTCCCAGCAGCCATGACTCAATCTCCCACCTCAGGAAGTACAGCTTATTAGATTAAAAGAGATTGAGTGCTTATCAGCCACAGAATCCTTTCTTAAAGTGATGTATTTTTAAAACTTGTACATGTAACGTGAACAAAAGAAATTCTGCTGAAATGAGGAAGAGGACCATGGAGCGCAACCTCCACAGGACACTCCTCACCACGTTTGGAGGCTTCTAGGATCGACAGTCCAAGTGTGCAAATACATGATGTGGACACTTCCTGATACTGATTGTCATGGGAAGCTTGTCTGAGTCAGACTTCTTGGGTTTGAATCCTGGATCAATAATAAAAAAAGAAAGAAAGAATCCTGGATCAAACCCTCAATATCTCTGTGATTTTGGAAGAAACTATTTAAGTTCTTCGTAACTAAAATTTCTTAAATTTCCAGTAATATTTTGTTTACTCCCAGATAAGATTTCTGTGAGGATTGTATTATGTAGGGCATGTAAAATAATATCATGCCTGTCACACAGTAAGCTCCAGTAAATATTATTATACATCATTATTTTGATTATTTTATTGTTCCACATTAAGCCATTGACTATCACTTAATGTTTGAGATTAATACATTCCTATGTGCCTATACATTCAATTTTTTGAGATAGAAATAGCAATATCAATAATAATAATAATATCATCACTAATAACCACCAACAAACCCAATAGTCACGGGAACTTCATTGTAATCATTATGCATCCCATGCAGACACTGTTTTAGAATGTTGTCTGATCTTAATTCCTACAAAATAAATACCGCTTAGCCCATTTAATAGAGGAAAACGGCAAGGTTCTCAAAGGTTAAAGCATTTGCCCGTGGTGAAACAACAAAAACATGATAACCAGAATAAACAATTAAGATTATCTAATTCAGTAGTTCAAAAGTGTTTTCTGCTCCATACTGGCTCCATGTATTTCCGATTTATTTTTCTTCCTAATTTATTTTCCCCTCCTCTGGAATTTTCCAAGAGATTGTCCTGAAAATGAAGATTTTCTGTCCTCAGACTACATACATAGACAATATTCAGGAATGAATGGACTTATTTTTGTCTTATAGACTCCTATACTGTACAAGGAGATGGCAATAACTGTGAATCCAAGGACTATAGGTCTTTCTTTCTCATTGTTAAAGGGGAACGGCATCATGATTCTCACATGTGGAATCTTAACTTGAGTAAATACTCCTCCACTTTCTCCATCCTACATACTTTGTTCCAAATTTGCTCACACATGTAGATTTTGCTTTACTTGGACACTGAAAGGTGAGACCATGTAACATGAACTTTGCTGTCAGAATAGCGTTCAAATCAGTGCCTTGGCCTTGTACTACCTGTGTGGCATTTGTAAGCCTTTAAC